ATTATATTTCACATGCAAACTGCAGGCACAACATGCTGGATTTGCATATATGTGCATACAGAGAGAGCCAGAGCTTCCCAGCCAGCCCCTGGAACAGCCGTATTTCATCCTTGGGAGAGCATCCCACAGCTGGATTCCACAGCTTCTGAAAAGCTGAGGAAAAACCCAACCCTCACATCTTGCTAAGCAAAAAAAAAAAAAAGAAAATGCCCCAACATGTGAATGGACTCAAGTCAGCTGTGGTAATGGGCTCAGTTATCTCTAATGTCACTGTTTCATCTGCCAACAGTGAGAGGCTGATAAGCCCTGGAGGTGGCTGGGGAACAGCCCCAACACCCCCTGGCTGCTCCTTTCCTTCCCAGGCAAAGCAACTCCTCCTCCTGCCTCAGTTTCCCAATTAAACAAGGGAGAGCAACACAACTCTGCCTCCCACATTAGGATTTTGAGGGGAAAAGGTGTCATTACTGTGCTGTCAACAAACATCACTTCAGTTTGTCACTAGTTTGGAAAACAATTTTATTTCCTTTCTCTTGTTAGAAACACCAAATTAAAGGAAAAAACGATGGGGAAACAAAAACCCCAAACCCTAGCCCACATTTTTTATTACGTGGCATGAATTGTGTGTGTCTCACAGATGGGTTATGTCTGTGTGCAGCAGAGAAGGTTGGAGCTGGCCTCTGGGAGAAGTTATGAGATGTGTTTTTAAGCACTGTTATGTTGCAAAATGGTGATGCAATTGCTGCTTTCATCTGGTGGCAGAGCTGTAGGCAGCATCTTCCCTCCATCCTTCCTCACCACTGAGGCTGAGATTTTCTTAAGTAATGGGAAATTTTGCAATGGGCTCTGTTACTGGAGAGGTGAGTCACTGAAAAAAAATTGATTTTTATTTAAAAAATAGAACTTAAATGACCAGAAGGAAGAAAATTAGTCCCAGGGAGATGAAATTGAAACAAATCCTTTTCTTTTGGGTTAAACTGTGTATTGTATGTTTGAAATGCCTGATCTCATGCTGACTTTGGAGACTTTGCAGGCAGCTCCAAAGCCCAGAGTTGGTCTTTCCCAATTATTAATGAAAGACAAAGCAATAAAAAAAAAAAAAAGGATTGCTTTCATAAAATAAAGAATAACTCATTTTTCACTAAGTGTTTGGAATATTTTTTGGTAAGAACATGCCAAATTGTCAGAAGCTTAATTTTTTGAAAGAATTTATGTGTGTTGAGACAACTGCCATTGGCAAAAGCTAATTCCACCTACTGATGGAATTTTGTGTCAAAGTAAGGAAAAAAAAAAAGACAAGAAAGGGAGAAGGCACACCCCCAGCAACCTTATCAGCTTGGAACAGGACAGAGCCACACTCAGGCTTCTGTGCCAATAAAAAAATTAATTATTCATACAAGTTCTTATGGAGAACAGAGGAAGACCAACCACTGGGTGACCAAGAGCCTCCTCAGCACCAGAGGAGGGGAGGTGGCTGGGCCAGCAGGTTGCTGGGAGGTGCAATGGGCATTCCAGGAGCTCCCTTGAGCCAGAGGGGTTTGAGGTGCTGGAAAGGGGAATGGGGTGCATGGTTCAGTCACTTTGGCTTCATCCCAGGACAGTGCAGCATCTTCTGCAGGATGTGAAAACCTGACTGACCTGACTCATTTCACAGGGTATTGGCCAGTCTTATGGTTTGAGATCAGCTTTTGGCCCAAAGAAAAGGAGAAATCAATTTTTAAAAATGCCCCAATCAAGCCAATAATTTGCATTTTTAGTTTTTATTATTGGAAATATTTATATTACAGTAGCTTGGTATTTTAGAAGGCTATAAATGCATTTTTATATAATCAGCATTTTTAAAAGTCTATAAACATCCACTATGTTTGCCTAATGCACTATAAAAACTTCCAAAGGAGCTGTTATTATCCAGCTTGTCACCTCACACAGGCTCCGAGGAGGAATTTTTTTTTTCTTGTCTGCTGTTAATAAAATGAAGCAAACCATTAACAGCTTTGGAGCTGAAGGGAGAAGCAAAGGGGCTTGTAATCTTGGACTCCAAAGGAAACGTCTGCAGCTTTGCTCCTCACCTCTTTGAGATTCCCAACACGCAACAACAATTTTAAACAGACAAAATCAGTTTAGGTTACATAAATTCAAAAGCCCAAGCCTGGTTCTTTTAAAGTAACATCTTGCATTTTGTTTGGAGTGTTGCAATCTCTCACATATCACTTTGAACTGGCTCAGTTTTACAGGCTGCTGAGCAGCTTCCTCAGGTTTCTTCGTTTAGAGGAGTTTTAGTGCAGAATTATTATGTGCACACATGAATATATTATTAGGTATATGTGTATATATGTATGAAAAAAATATATATACATATATATTTAAAGCCTGTCTGACGGTGGTGGTTGCACATCCAGGCCCCCTCTCTCCCAGCACTCCCTGCATCCCAAACTCCCAGCATTATCAGCCCATGGAACAAGCCCCAAACCAAGTCCTGATAAAAAGATGCCACGTACTTTGGAGAGAACACAGATATTTTAGTCCCATTAGGAGCTCAGGGGTGAGTGTGTTTTTTAAAGCAATTAGTGAAGAAATCTGTGTGCAAAACCCAAGTCTGGGTTTTAAACAATCTCTTAATTCACATCTCAGAGATTTGCTGTTGGTTCATCTCCCTTTACAGTTTGCTCCTGTTCCTGACAAATCTCGGTGTCAGGATGGATTCTCCACCCCGGGGAACCTGTCAGGGAGGTGATAACAACTCACTCCATCCAAAGAAGGGCATGGCTGTGCTGTAAGAGTGAGTGGTTCCCAGGAGCTCCCCTGTGGCTGGGCAGGGTCCTGCTGGGGCACAGGCAGCCACACACCCTGGGCACTTTGTGATTTCAGATGTGCCCCAAAACAGCACAAGAACCCGCTGCTCCTGGCACTTGGGTTCCCAAAATCCCCAAGTGCTCCCCAAGGAGTACCAGACAATGTTCCCCTGCGCTGGCTGGGCTGGTAATTTGGGTAAAGGCCTTCCTGGGGTGATCCTGAGGTGAGTCAGGGTGGAGAAGAGCTTCCATGGCTTCAGCTATTGAAAGGGCACGGGCTGGGAAAGAACTGACAGTCCTGACTGATGTCCAGGGAGGAGCAGCTTGGACATCCCTGCAACAATGGAAAAAGGGAGGAGAAAAACCCAGCAGTGGTTTATGTCATTGTGGAGAAATTCCCAGCTGCTCCATGGGAAAATGAGCTGGGGGTGCAGAGGGGACAGCGGTGATCACAAGGACCGTGTTGGGGCAGAGGAGTGGGTATGGGGGAGAGGCTCTCCTGCAGTCTCTGTCCCACTGCCAGTCCCATGAGGGGTGGCAGGTTTGGTTCCTGGGCTCAGACAGAGGTCCTGAGGGATGCTCTGTGTTGTGGTCACTGCAGAGATGGCTCTGGCACCAACAGGACACCAGAATTTGTGGTTTTGCTGCCACACACCTGTCCCGGGCTGTCGGAACACTGACGATGTGGAACAGCCTGTCCTGGAGTGGGGGGCAGCGGAGGGAATCCAGGTTCCCAGCAGAGCTCAGGCTGAGGCAGAGGAAAAGCCAAAGCAGCCCAGGACAGAGAGCAGACACGTCACTGGTAGTGGCTATTTCTGGCATTGTCCTCGGAGCTGGGGACCTCTGGGAGCTGAGGGACACACCTCTGGGACCTCCTGGGAGCCCTTCCCACCTTGTACCACAATGGGGTGGTTCCTGCAGGCATTTCCTATCCTTAGATGTCTTGCTATCAGTTCCTAACAAGTCTAACAGCCTCAGACGAGTGTTGCCTGATGGTCTCACATGGATGTCCTAAGTGGGGGTGTCCTTTGGGGTCACAGTGCTGGGTGTCTGTGGGTGGCTGTCCCTGTCACACGCCACTCCACTTCCATGGATTGCTGATAGGAGCAGAGGGTGCTGGGCACCTCACCAGGCTCTTGCAAACTTCCTGACCCAGATCCACATCCAGCCACCACCACACATGCATTCCTTGCCAGGTCTGGTCCCTCCAGCCCTGATCCCAAAAAGCCCACCCACAGCACCGGTCTGTCAGCAGCGTGAGGTGCCCTTGGGGTCTGAGATGTCCTGGTCCTTCTGGGGAGCCTCAGAGAGGTGTAGAGACCTGCAGAGAGCTTGGCAGGGAGGGACATGGGACTGGCGAGGTGCTCCAGAATGGGGGTGTGCTGCAAGCAAGCAGGACAGGTTGGCTGAGTGCAGACATTGCCACGTCTGTCATCATTTATCTGCTATCTCCAGGTGACCTCCCCAGGGCCCTGGACATCTTCACTTTCAAGCTAGGTGTAACTCAAGTTTCTAGAGATGTTCACCTGCTTCTCTGGGCGCAAGCCAAGGGCAGTGCCTGCACTGCCAAAATCTCCCCTCCCTGCTGTACCACTGGATGAAACTTTGGAGGTTGGAAAGATCCTGTGGCCTCATAACCCAGGAGACACCACTGTGCTGGTGATCCACATTAGCCACCCTGACAGGAGGGTTTCCCTGCCTGGAAATGAGGGTCCCCAGTGCTCTCCGTGTAGGGCAGAAAAACTCCAACACCTTCCCAGCCTTCAGCACCTTTGGAGACACAAGAGGACAGACGTGGCCAGACAATGGGCTGCCCAGGACATTTTGGTGAAGGACTTGGCCTCAGCATGAGGTTTTTGAAACACACTTCTTCCTTCTGTAAGGTGAAAATCGGGATCTTTTGAGCTCCTTCCCCACTTTCTCACCTGGAAACCTTTCTAGCACAGAGGAAGAAATACAAATGAAAGAAAAGAAAGGAGAAGAAAAGAACCAAAGCGGGAGACAGCCTAAGGTTTTCCAGCATGGACAAGGTCTCCGCTCTGTGTCTCTCAACGCTGGCACTTACCAAACATAGCCAGGGCCCCGCGAAACCTCGGGCCGGCACAGAGTAGTAAGATGAGCTCCCTCTTTATTTGGCCTAGCTAAAAATAGCAGAGGGGAAAAAAAAGGCAGAGTCAGGACCCTGCAGGACCAGTAGTCAATGGGCTGCGAGGAGCGATTGAACTCCAAGCCCTGCTCGGCAGGCTCCAGCTGACGGGCTATTTTTTGCCGTGGTTGACTAAATATGGTCAGGGAGGGAAGAGCAGGAGCAGGGGCCGCGCGCCCGGGGGTGCGTGTTTGGGATGCTTCGCTGGGTATATAAGCACTGGAAAGGTGGACTCGCGTCCTGACCAGAGCTGCCCCCTCCCTCCGCCAGCCCCCCGCAGCCGTGTGCATCCCCCCGCAGCCTGACCCCAGCCCGGGCTGACCCCCGGGGGGGGGTGACAATGAGGAGGAGGAGGGAAGAAGGGAGGAGGGGGGGGGTG